GCTAGATCAAGGAGAGGATTTCCTACTTGGATGGGAAGAGGCGATAGGTCACTCTCGCAGTGAAAGGGAGGAGTTGAGGGGTTACAAATTTAAGTATTCTTACTCTTTAGATTACCGAACCTACCGTAGGGGTGGTCGCCCGGCGTCGGTAATTCCGGACGCTTATCTCGACGGGTCGGACGATTTGAAGGTACTAATAGCGATCGTAGAGAGAATAGTGAGAACAACAACTCTATGAGTTTGAGCGCTCTAAAAGTTGAACCTGCGGGAATTAGTGTGGGAAGTCAAGGTGGTGTGAACGTGTGCTGTTACAATTTCTACTGGTGGACCGGCGATTTCGACATAACTTTGTACGTAGAAGAGGGTGCAGACAGAGAGGCAGGCTTTTTGGATAGCTGGGAAGAAGCGGTCAGCCTTGCGCAGCGAGAGAGAGAACTATTGGGGGCCTACGGGATTAGGTACTTCTACTCGCTGGGCTGTCGGACTTACTTGCGAGGAGAGCAGCCTGCTCCTACTATTCCAGAGGCATACCTTAACGGTTCGGACGGTTGGAGAGCGCTAGTTCAAATCATCAAGGAGATAGTCCAAGGGAATGGTTAGGATCATAGAAGGTACTAACGAAGAAGGGGTTCGAATCGAGAAGGCGGATCTAAGCAAGGACAGTGAGTGCTTCAGCGTCCCCCTAGATCATCGCACAGAGAGATATCTGGTCAGGCGCGAGAGAGGGTTAGAGCTAGAAAAGGGGGTGTTCCTTTGGGCTCGGTTCGCGATAGGGACCTGGGAAGAAGATAGGTGGTCCAGGAACAGGCCCCGAAACGAAAAGACGCCTCGACAGACAGTGATCCGTGTCGAAGGAACGATTTATTTGAGTCGGGAGGCCTGGGTGTATTACGTCACTCACCGGGTCCTAGGTTGGTACCGAACGGATCATTGAGAAGCTCGGGTAGGTCCTATTTTGCGGCAGATCTTTGAGGAGGAGCCCCTTCGCTTCTGCCCATCGATCGAGGTGCGGGTGACTTGCGCTCGAGACGAGGAATACCCTCGCGCCACAAGGTGCGTCAATACCATATTTCCGTTCCCGTTTTCCGGAGGGTAAGCGGGAAGGAGGAGCGGTACGAGAGGGTTGTGCGGTCCATAGTGCGAGAAAGAGGGTGGCAGCTACCCGTTAGGTCACTCCATTGGTACTACACCTACTACGTGGAGAACCCTGTACCATATGGAATTAAAGCATGTAGGATTCGTGCGGGGATCTTTAGGGAATCAACTCGGGACCGCGAGGGTGGAAGAGATTACGACTACCAAAGGGTCTTTGGGGTGCCCCACAAAATGTTTTAGAATGAATGGTGTTCTTTGATAGAGACCTGGGACGCTTCGTTGAATCCCCCTTAGAAGGCTGTGGAACCCGTAGATTAATCCCTAGCAACGGGGGGATCCCCAATTGGGAGAGGGTAGAAGGGGGAAAAATCACGGCAGGTGGGGACTTCGTGTGGATAGAGTCGAAAGAGGTTGGGGACCGAGAGGTTGAAAGGAGTCTCGAAGTAACCGCGGTTATCTTCGTAGCACCGGGGGCTTGGACAAAGGTCGTAGTACCCCTGGTCTTGGGACAAGGGGGTGGGCTGGATAGGCTGCTACAAGAGGCAAGAGAAGTGCGAAGAGAGTGGATAGCTAAGGTTCGGGAACAACTTAGGTTTGTGGCTATAGAAAAGGAGAGGTTCGCATGGGAGAAAGAGCTTCCGAGGTCGTGTTATCCGTTGACCGTAAGGGTGCTATTGTTCCTGTTCCTAGATACGAGCGAAGAGAAGATAGTGAGGCTCTTGGAGAGAAGAAGAGAGATAGGCCTATCATTTAATGCCTTGTGGGTGCTCTATAGTCACTGTGTAGACCACGGTACCCCTCGTAAGAGGAGGCTTTGGGGTGTTTTTAGGAGGCTTGGGTCTTTGGAGCGGTTCGTCTCCCTCAGTCCGCGAGCGTACCGTGAGTGGGTATTCGGAAAGGCATGATAGATGGTTAGGCTCGCGCTCGGGAGGAACGAGGTGATAGAAGCAATAGAGATCAAGGGGAAAGGCCAAGTCTTGATCCCTGGGGACCCGCACGTGACCCCCTATTGGATGAGCGTGGAGAAAGGGGAGGTAGTCAAGAAGGATCGTACGTGTGGGTTAGAGCTCGCAGACTTACTTGGAAGGAGGGGGTAGAAAAGGGAGGTCCGCCTCATCTTGATAGGTTTCTAGAGATCGAAGTCACTATCTTCCTCGACGAGGACTCGTGGATGGAGGTTTGGAGGGGTCTAGTGACTGGCTTAGGGACACATACGGAGTATCGAGAGTCTGCGAGGAAGGTGGCTAAAGAATTGGTACTTGGCGCTTACGAGGAAGGGACTTTTGAGTCGTGGACGAAGGTTTCTTTTGCCGAACCAGGGGAGGTCCCTCGTGCTTCGAAGATTCTTTACGCTGCCCTACCCGATTTCTTGGTAAGGTCGCTCTTGCGGGACCCGGAAGGAAGGACAGTAGAGGTGCTATGGGTCGCGCGAAGGTGAGGCGTAGGGACGCGAGGGGTCTTTTGGCTCTATACTCGGTGTATAGAAGCTGGGATTCCGCCTAGAAGGGAACTAGAGGGCGTGTTCGAGCGGTTGAGGGAATTCGAGGGCGTGATAGGCCACGTCGCTGACGTTCCATACGCTCGATTATTCGGGGAGGAGCAAGTGACAAATTAAAGGGGGTACGAACCTCGAACGAGGTAATGGTAAGAGGGATTCCGGGGACTCTCTGGGCGTCAGTAGAACCAATAGAAGATACTGGGGAAGTGGTCCATCTCACTTTACCAAGAGCAAGGTTGGAAGGGCCAACAAGGACCATTCGGAGAGAGGTAAGGGAAATCCGACGAGGTAAGGTTTTCGTGCGATTGGCGGTGAGTAGCGAGAAGAGAGTAGTGATTGGGGAGGCCCAAATATTCCTTTCAAAGGAAGGACCCATAGAAATGGCTCCGAGCCTAAGGACGGGAAAGGACCCTCTCTGGGATGCGCGGGCCGTAAGAAACCGACTAGGGGATCTCGTGGAATAAGTAAAACCTCGCGAAGGGTGCCAAGAAGAGTACCGAGTGACCTACGGGAGCTGGGAGGAGATACCACGTTTCGCCACCAGTGAACCTGTGGGAGTTCCCCGTTTCATCCTCGAACTGATCTACCCCTTCGAGGCAGTCAAAAGGGCGGTAGGAAGAAGGATCTCCATCCTGAGCCAGTTTCGGTTTACGGAATCGGACCTCCATACCTTGCTATCGTGGTGTTTCCGGGATCCCTATAGAGACGATTAGTCGACTCTAGAAGACCTAGGCTACGCCTTTGAAGGCTGGGGTCGACACACGAGATAATAAAAAATATCGTGGAGGTACTTGGATAAGATCAGCGAGGCGGGATTAGAGTGTTTGGATCCCTCGGATCTCATCCGAATCGCGATCGCGTGTCGCCGACGAAAATTAGGGGATGAGCGAGCTTGACCTTGACGAGCTTATAGGGCTAGAGAGGGTGAGGGAGGAGATACTCCGGATCCTTACTCTCTGTTGGGAGGAAGAAAGGAGGGCGAGGCCTGGGTCCCTAGCTAGGATCTAACTACTAGAGACCTCTGCGATCGCAATCCTAGACGAGTTGACGATAGATTTTCTCGCTCGGTACGGGAGGTATGAGAGCTACATTCGTCTCCAATAAAATTCGTTGGGAATTGGAGACTTGTGAAGACGACAACAAAGTAAAAGTCGAAGGAGGTGCGAAACTAAACCCTGAGCTTGGAGGGGATCGAGTGGTCCGAGCCGAGAGGGAGTTTCTAGTGGAGGTCTGCCGGCTGGCCTTGTGGAAAAAAAGGACCTGGACCACACTAGCTTGCTTTTCGGTCTACGATTCTTGGTGGTCTCTGAAGAGGGAAGCCGCACTAGAACTTGGGAAATCCCAACCAGGGCCTACCGTCTACTCTACGTCGACGACGCGACTATGAGGAAGGTCCTAAATAGGGGGCAGGTGATCGAGAAATTCCCATTAGGCAAAGAGAAGGGTCACGAACTGTTCACCTAGTGTTGGGAGTCGCGAGAGGACACAAATTTCGAGTGGTGGGCACTCGTTGGGGAATTCATCAAACCCTTGTTTAGAGGACAACCCGGAGAGGTGGATAGAGCCTTAATCCGGCGGTGCTCTCAAGAGGGGATTAGGGGGATTTTCGACCTAGAAATCGCCAACTTAGCCTTAGCAGCCTGTGAAGAAAAAAGGGTACGGGACTCTTGGTGGACTGTGACTAGCGAGGAGTCGGAAGGAGATAGTGAGGTCCACGAATCGAGTGAGGAGGAAGAAGACTTGGGGGGAGAAGATGATTCGGAAGGGAGTGACGATAGTGAGGAGAGCAATTAGAGGATAACAATAGGGTACATGGAGAGTGAGGTGGACGCCGGACTCTCTCGTCCACTAGAAACAGCTGTGAGAGGGGGTGTTGAGAAGAGCCTCGAGTTGGGAGCTAGGCTAAGTTGGGTGACAGAAGAAATGGTTTAGGGTACAGAGTCGATAAGTAGGGCCAAGAGGAGCCCAGAGACGGCTTCAGGAGAAAGACAAGCCTTGGCGGGGCAGAGAGCTAGTGCGGAGGTGCGAGTACATAGGGAGGTAGAGCCGCGGGTTCCAGTGAGAGAAGGGACGGCCGAAGCCTCGAGGGGCCTTCCAGTAGAGGCTCGATGGGCGGATCTAGTGGACGCGGAAGGAAGGATAGGAGTGGCTCATAAATTTTCGAGAGATAGGGCAGGGTACCGACCATCTAGGAGGGAACAAGAAGCGGGTCCGAATAGAAGGGACGTAAGAGATGAGAGGTCGACGGAAGCTGGCGGTAGACCAAGGAGGTGGGCCGAGAGAGAGTCGGATGCTGCATGGGCACCCGGAGAGGTAGTTGGGAGGAGTCCGGGGATGGACGCTTGGAGAGGGTTTAGGGGGCAGGACCCCGTACGCTGGGAGACCGAATGGCGGAATGAAAGAGGTCGCTACAGGGAAGAACCGTGGGGACCCCCAAGACCCCGACCGCGGATTGAGGAGTAAGACCCCTCTTGGTATAGGCCGTACGATCCGGTGGTTGATGGGCCTATGAAAGGGCTCTATTTTCGTCGTTACGATGACCGACGAGTCCGCTACTACGACGTCAACCTAGGTCTAGAAGCGCTTTTCTTCGACGGACGTGATGTGACGGGGTTCGTCGAGAAGTGGGAGAGTTATGCTTACGGAAAGAGTTTCTTCGACAAGGAGTGGATAGACCACTTCATCCAGCATTCGGACCCGGAACTAGACCCTGCGATTAGGGCTATCTACCCGGCAGATGGTCGGTGGAGGACATTCAAAAGTAGTCTATTACGAACTTTCGCATGTGATGACTTAATCCTCACCGTAGAGGGCTTGCGTCGTGTTATGAGGGGGAAACGGAAAAGCTTGGTGGCCTTCACTCGGAGGTTCAAGCGCTTGTCCCAAGCCCTGGTGGATAGAGGGATGTTGTCGGAGGTGGATAGGTATGTAATGTTTATGTTGCACCTACCCGAGGAGAAAAGGAAGGAGGTCCTAGAGAAAGCTCCCCGAGACTCGGCCAATTTCGAAAGAGTCGCCGAGGTAGTCTTCATGGGAGGAGGAGTAGACGTGAGAGAATACATGAAAGAAACCCTGGACATGGCGCTCTGTAATATGCGCAACACACAAAACGATGGCCCTCGGGGGAATGACAGACCACCCCCTGGTCCACCTGTTCCGCGATGGGGAGAACGCCAAACGGGGTGGAGAAACGAACCAGGAAACCCGGGCGGGTGGAAGTATGACCGATACCGAGGCCCCGATTGGGGAAATTCCCATTGGAAGGATGCTAGGGATGGAAGATGGGGAGACACGCCTCAAGTGAGGGCCACAGGGGCACGACCTGAGGTCAGGGCTCCGCCACCCCCCGCACCACCGCCGCCGGCTCCTCCCACGCCGATAGCCACTGCGACGCAAGGGGGACCACGCCCCAACTACCCGCTAGCTCGAAGCGGGTGTGTTTACTGCAACGAAGAAAGTCACATCAAGAGGGACTGTCCTCATCTCACCGAGGCCTTAAGGTTGGGAGTGGTTAAGCTAAATGAAAACAAATGGGTTGTGTGGGATGACAAAGAGCGCGTCCCCTTCTACCCCTCTATGAAGATAAATGTGGACAAGAGAATCACTCTGCGAGAGGCGAGGTTAGGGAAGCAACCTGAGAGCGGGACGACCGCTAGCACGTCCCGGGTCCAAATGATGGAACCGACAGGGGGAATCTCTACACGGGAGCCTCAAGTCTCGAGCATCAAGTTTGTAGAGGCGGAACCCGATGTCCCTGGTCCCCTGCCTGGGGAGGTCAAAGTTCAGGAAGAAGGAACCTGTCTGCGAGTAAGGACCCAAGTGGGGGCCGGATCTTCAAAGGGCAAGGAGCGGATGGGGGAAGGAAGAGCAAGGATGAGGATTATCCCATGATAGACGCAAGGACTGCCGAAGAGAAGAAGGGAGAAGAGCCGACGTCCAAAAAGTCTCCTACGAAGAGAGCCCCTAAGAGATCGAGATGAAATGTACCCTTGATGAGATTGACACCGTCGCACCTCTGCGACGGACTTTGATGCAACCCATGCAGTGAACCCTACTAGAATACTTAGCGGTTAACAAGAACGCACGAGATGAGTTCCTAAGTATAACCAGGAAGGTGAGAATTCCTCTCACTGGAGGACCCACAGCTTAGGGGGAAGGCCCGCCTAAAGAAGAGGTGCACGCGGCTCGCCTTACAATGGAGGAGATGCCAACTGATCTCTTCTCGGGGGTTGAGCCGCAGAAGTTCTATGTGTTGGGGAGTGGCTATCTGTGGGCCAGAGTAAGCGGAAAAAGGATGAGGGCCCTAGTAGATAACGGGTCCGAATCCACCGTTTGCAGGGATTCCCTTGCACGAGAGTTAGGCTCAGAGGTAGATAGGGGGGTTGTCATGCCCATGGTGGTAGCGGATAACAAGTTCCAACCGGCAGAAGGCGTGTGTCACAGCCCTATTATCGACGTCGAGGGGGTTGAGACTACTGTGCCAATTTTCTTGGTTAAGGAGTGTTCGTCCGAATTCGTCCTCGGACGAACTTGGCTAAGCGCGGTACACGCAACGACTGTTGATCTTCCTGACGACAGTCAAACCCTTTCCATCCAAAGCCCAGACGAGATCCGTGTGATCCTAAAGACAGAGTGCTCGAGACGAGCGGCACCGTACAAGTGTCCCGAGAAAAATAGGGACTCAGTCCAAGGTTTGCAACGTCCGCCTCGAGGAGTCGCCTTTTTCCAAGACGGGGCCTCCCAGAGACAAGATAGAAGTCGAGGAGGTCGAGGACCGTATCTTGATAGATGGGATCGGCTACGATAAGGAGGATGAGGAAGAGGAGTTCAGAGGGTGTGTAAGAATGTCTTTTTTGGAGGAATCCCCCTAGCCGACGCACCTAGGAAGCATAAAAACGTTGTGGAAAAAGTAACACCCGCCGCGGTCAGCCGGGATAGAACGAGGGAAGAATCGATATTGGAGGAGGAGATAGCCAGAATCATCCGCAAGCGAAAAGAGACCGAGGGGCAATGGATCACCGCCGATAGGCTAGTTAAGATGGACATAGGAGACGGGAACCTCACGGACCAAGAAAAGGAGTACGTGGCCATGGTCCTGAGAGGATGCGACAAGGTTATTGCCTTCGATGATTCGAAGAGGGGTAGGATAGACCCTAGGGCCTTCGAAGGATAGACGTTGGTGGAAGTGTGCTCAAAAAGAAAAGGAGGAGATAGTGGCCTTTATCAAGGAGAAGATTCGGACATTTGTCGCGGAACCCTGTGAAAGTGCGTACTGTAACAAATGGTTCTTCATACGGAAAGGAGGTAGCGTCAAACTTAGGTGGATCCGGGACCTCCAAAGGATCAACGCGGTCACTATTAGGGATGTAGGGTCCATACCTGATGTGAACTTGCTCGCTGAAGGTTCGGCCGGTCGCTCGATCTATTCAGTTTGCGATCTCTTCTCGGGCTACGATGACATCCCTCTAGATTACCGGGATAGACATCTGACCGCCATGCACACGCCGTTAGGTCTGGTCCAAATGATGGTGGTACCGATGGGATGGACCAACGAAGTGGCGGTATTCCAAAGAGCTATGATCGCGGTCCTCAAGAAATTCATACCTGAAAAGTTGGAGGTCTTATTGGATGACTTTCCAATCAAAGGGCCCGTACTTAAAGATGAGACCGAGGTCTTCCTGGGGGTGAGAATTTTCGTGGTAGATCACATGGAAGACGTGAGGGACGTCCTAACAAAGTTAGACGATATCAACCTCACCGTGAGTGAGACTAAGAGTCGCTGGGGAGTGTCCTCCATCAGGGTGCTAGGCTTTGTCTGCGACAAGGATGGGCGGAGACCCGATCCTGCGAAATTAGAGAAGCTGATGAACTGGTCGTCGCCGTTAAAGTCGATCACGAAAGTAAGGCAGTTTCTAGGGGTTGTGGGCTATTGGAGGATTTTCATTAGAGCCTACAGCGAGAAGGCGGAACCTCTTAAAAAGCTGCTTAGGAGAGTTGAGAAATGGGCTTGGGGAGAAGAGCAGGTTGCGACCATGAATGTCCTCAAGGAAGAGTTCCGCGAAGGAGGACAGGTCCGAGGTGTCCCTTATTTCGAAGATAAGGTGAATCGGCCTTTTATCGTCTCTATGGACGCGGGGCCGTGCTCGGTAGCGGGGCTCCTATCTCGAAAGGATGAAGAAGGAAAGGAGAGGTCGTTGCGCTTTGAAAGCAGGGCATTGAATCCCGCGAAAAGAGACTATAGTCAATTCAAAAAGGAAGTGTTAGGGGTGTTGCACTCCCAAAAGGTCTTCCGTCATTACATCTACGGGCGACGCTTCCTCCTACGGGTTGATCCAACCGCAGTGGCCGTAGTCCTTCAAAAGGACTTCTCGCTGACCGATCCGACCATCACTCGATGGATGATACATATTAGACTATACGATTACAGGGTCAAAAGGATATTGGGGTCCAAAAACCAGGTCGCGGATGGTTTGTCCCGACTCCCCATCCGGGAAGAGGACCTACCCAATGGCCAAGAGAGAGGTAATGAAAGTCGCCGCTAACAGGGCACAAGTGGTGGTGAGCATCCAAGAAGACGAGGAGGCCCCTAAGACCTTTCTCGCTAATCTCTACGACGGAAAGTACTGGGATATAGGACTGTATTTAGCCGGCAGGGAAGCAGGGACTGAGAGAACCCAGCGAGAGGCGCAGGGATATTGCCTACGAGGAGGACATCTCTTTAAGAGGCCCACCAAGTTTGCGATTCCCATGAGAGTATTATGCGACCCGGAAGATATGAGGGCAGTCATAGAGGAGCTACACGACGGTGGTCGTTGGAGGCCATAGGGGGGTAAAGGGTACTTTCGATAAGGTCCGTAGGCTCTATTGGTGGGAAGGGCAGTACGCGGAAGTCGAGAAATACTGCTCGACGTGTGAGGCTTGCCAAAAGAAGGCGACGATTTGATACAAGGAGCCCCTAGTTCCATCGCTTCCCATCGTTCCGGGTGAGAAGGTCCATATAGATTTAGTGACTATGCCGAAGGGGATCGGCGGACTTCGGTATATAATCAACGCCCGCGATGACCTCACAGGATTTGTAGAGGCTAAGGCGATCAAAAGGAAGACGGACGACTAGGTGAGCGAATTTCTCTTAGAGTACATTGCTCGATACGGATGTGTCAGAAATATAGTCATGAATAGGGGGACGAAGTTCTTAAGCCAAAAGGTCAAGATTTTGTTGGAAAAGGCGGGGATTATAGCGGTCTATACAACCGCCTATCATCCCCAAAGCAACGCTCCGGTTGAAAGAGGTCACCAGACGCCTATAGATGCCCTGGCAAAATGGTGCAAAGGTCGCGCGGAGCAATGGCCGAAGTATTTTCGGTACATGGTTTGGGCCGATAACATCACAATCAAATCAAGCACGGGGTACCCTCCTTACACCCTTTGGTTTGGTAGGCATTGTCCCCTACCGATCGAATTCCACGTCGACACTTTGACGAGTGTCTTGTGGAAAACCAACTTGACTAGAGGTGAACTGTTGGAGGCTCGGATACAACAAATAGCCGAAAGCGTAGATGCTGGTCTTACTCAGGCGGGAGAAAACGTCGAGAAAGAAAGGGTGAAAGGAAAGGAAAGGTGGGACAAAAATCTGCGGGTCCGACAAGCGCCGATAGGGGTTAACAACCTTGTCCTAATGTACGACTCGTCGCTAGAGAAAACTTGGAGCCGAAAGTTAGCAAACCGAAGGATGGGGTCATATAGAGTCCTGAAAAGATTGGATGGGGGGGCTTACATGCTAGCCGAGTTAGACGGGACTAAGTTATGAGACCCTATCGTGGGAGCTCGTCTCAAGTGAATTTTGGTGGTCCTTACCGGGGCTAGGTACCACATGCACGAATTAAGACATACTGACCGTCAATAATATAAGATCAACGGCCCAAAATGTCTTAGTCCATGCAAGTGGGACCTTGCCCCCGGTCCCCCAATGAAATGCTGAAAGCGTGCTTGGGATAAAGTGCCCGCTACTTGCAATCGGAAGTTCAGCATTCAAATTCGAGGCCGTCTCGTGCTCCCCGCCACGGTCGTCTCCGTATTTATACCGCGCCCATCATCTTGATCCTTGCGACATGCCCGTCATCTTCTCTTGATGCTTGTGCCGTACCCGTCATCTTCTCATCATGCTTGCGCCATGCCCATCATCCTCTGTTCATGCGGACACCATGTCCGTCATCTTCATGCTTACGACATAACCGTCATCTTCATTCTTACGCCTAGCCGTGGGCGATAGCCGCTGCGATCGAAGGGGAAAGGTGTGTACTCCTCTCCTCCGCCGTAGATCATTAGCTTTCATTTTTGTCTTGTACGATTGCTACTACTGCAAGGAGAGAGAGAGAGAGAGAGAGAGAGAGAGAGAGAGAGAGAGAGAGAGAGAGAGAGAGAGAGAGAGAGAGAGAGAGAGAGAGAGGTTTCTTTCGAAGAGAAGGTCGCACTCTCTCTCTCACTCTCTCTCTCTCCTTGTTGGACCTTTATTCGGAGACGAGGTCGCTCTCTCTCTGCATTGTGATGATGAAAGTTATGCCTGATCTCTGGCTTCTTTTTTATTTATTTATGGCGGAACTGGTTGTCACTCTCTCTCCATTGTGATGGCCGCTCATTCTCTCTCTCTCTCCCCCTGCATTGTGATGGCAGGTGTGAAAGATGCACAGACAGACACAGAGAGAGAGAGAGAGAGAGAGAGAGAGAGAGAGAGAGAGAGAGAGAGAGAGAGAGAGAGAGAGAGAGAGAGAGAGCTTTTTTCGAAAAGGAGGTTGCCCTCTCTCTCCCTCTCCAACCTTTTCCGAAGAAAATGTGACTGTTTCTCTCTCTCTCTCTCTCTCTCTCTCTCTCTCTCTCTCTCTCTCTCTGTGCATGTTTTCAATGCTCGTGTTTTCTTTTCATGTTACGTTTTATGGGATTCAGTTATCG